AAAAATTAATTAGTGATCATCACTATGTAACCTCCACTATGTTTGTAATTAGACTGATATGGGACACCCTAATAAATTATCACATCACTTGAAAAATAATGTAAATGAGCATAATTTAATGCAGCTATAATGGCAACAATCACTAGTTTTTTAGGTGTTGAATAATTTAAATCTTTGGTAATATTATGTGTGGAATTTCGTTAATAGAAAAAAGAAGCTTATTTGTTTTGAAGAATGGACAGGGTGTTTATGGCTTTTTTTAACCCCTGTTTATTTTAACACCTGTTTATCTTAATGAAAGTGAATATCTTTGCAGGGCAATTATCCTTTCCGTTTCATCTTATTGATATTAGGTATAAAATCACAAATTCGCAAATTTCGAATGCACATTTTATTTAGGCTACTCAAAAGTTGATTAGTTGGTTGATTGACATTTTGGGTTCAAAAGTGGAAACACCCAAAGAATATTTTATTGAATCTAGATTTATATTATTAAATTTGAAAAAATTTCCGAAGATGCTTAACGCTACTTAAACAGTAAATGTTTATTTGTTTTCTGAGTTATATGAAATGAATGATGCGTAATTAATTAAGCTGCTTTATTATGTAATTTATAGCATCAATAAATGATGTAGGTCATTAATTGATCGGTAAAATTTCCGAATTGACGGAAATCAATAATGACGCATAACAAATACATCAGCTTAATTAAATTTAAACTTTTTTCTATTTCGAAATCTAAATACTCAACAGCTTAAAATTTCTTAAAGTTGCACTCAGGGTATTAGCGTAATACGAATGAAGCAAAATTATGTAGTTTTATTTGATCACGTGAAATAATTTCCGTATACACACACGATCAGAAGTATTTCGTTTCGTTTTTCCTCAACGTGAAAACAGTACGCTTCAAGAGAACCTATTTTATTTATAAAAATTGAATTTAAGTAATATATATAATTAATATATTAGATATGGGGTCTTGATGAATTATCAAATTGGTATAAAAATTTAGAGCCCAAATTTATAAGCAGGGAATTTACTTTTAAATATTCAATACCCATAATGTTATACATGAGCGAGAACACAATTTATTATAAATAAAAATAAATAAACGATCCTACATAGAACTGTTGGTGGGGTATTTTCAAAAAGTATTCTATTCTATCAGATATCATTATCACGGGTATAAAGGAAATTACCAGTGCACCTTTCCTTTAAAAAATACCAGTAACAATTATGATACCTTAAATAATAAAAAATAACTACTATAATAAATTCAAAACATTTTCGATTGAATTTAGTCCGACAATGACACAAAGGATCCATTTTTCAATAAACTGTATCTATGATAAATTTGAATCAACTTGTGACAATTAAAAGGTGGACGTGTTTAAACTATTATTTTTTTTTTTTCTCGCTAAAGGACAACAGAGAATAATCAAAAATATCAATGGCCAAGAAATATTATTGCTATCATTGAGCTATCGTTAATCAATAAACCCAATAGATGGGAAAAAAAAAGTATATACACTTAGCGATTATTCCCTAACAAGATCTTTCATTATGTTTGGTGCAAATAAGTATAAAACTACTAACTACTAAATCATAATTTGTATGGACAAATTATACATCTAACTTCACATATACCCCTTCAAAACCTCAACATCCAATTTAGGGTCAATTTTTCCGGTATAAAAGTAATATAAAATTCGTTTAAAAGTCTTGTAATCGACATCATCAATATGTATTGCCTTCACATCGGAATTTTGTAATTGTTTCAAATCTTCATTATTCATCTAACGATTACGATTAATAAACGAAATAAGAGTCACTATGTCATTTTATGAAGTTAGAATAATTATGAAGATCTACCTTCTCAATGTCATATAAACTATCGTAATCGGACTTTTTATTGACAGGATTCCAACCGTTTTTACGCAATTCGATCAAATCCTAATTAATAAATAAATGTAAAATAAATTATTAATTATAAATTATATAATAATTAAATAACGTATTAATTAAAGTATTAATAACGTATTAATTATAAATTATATAATAATTAAATAGCGTATTAATTATAAATTATATAATTATATAATTATAATGATTAAATAACGTATATTTACCATTAACATAACACATAGATGTTTATTCAATTGAGTATGTTGCGCGAAAAAGGCCATTCTTTCAAAATACGTGTCCATATGAGATCGCGCTTTTTCATGATCCATAAGTTTACCGGCCGTTTTTAATAATTCATACAAAAAATCAATTCTTTGATCGATAAATGGACTTTGTGCTTTGTTTAAACAATGTTTAACGCATTTATGTATCATTGATTCAGTAATAACATTTCTTTTAAACAATTCAGCAAAGAATCGTGCGAGACCTAACCATCGTTTTCTTTCTCGAATGGCTAAAAAGTAATCATTAGATTTGTTGATAAGTTCACCATTTTCGTCACGTTTAATGTATAAATCAGCTGCACAACCTTTTTCCAATTCAATTTGACATTTTGTATATAAATATTTTAAAAACAAATTACGTCCTTTTGCAGCGTAACCGTCTGGCATTTTAATATATTTATCAATAATATCTTGATCCATTCCATCCATTAAATTTTTACAAAGGTGTGCATATAGGTCACTAAAATTTCGGCATTGACACGCATAATCAAATATAATATATATAACAGTTCTTAAAGTGTGACCATCTTTTTCTTCCTTTGATCTATTAACAATAGCAATAATTTGATTGGTCACATTTTCCATATTATCCCAAATTAATCTATTTAATAGTCCGGTTAATAGACGTCGAAGTTTATAAATTTGTTTTTTATCATCACAA